CCTTTGGGGATGAGATGTCAAAGTCCATAGATAGCATAGGACCTGCATAGGTAAGGCAATATGTCAAATATAGTTTTTTCTCTTACTCAGAACCTTTTGCCAGAATAATAGGTCTGTTAGAACTGGCTTTAATAGAGGCCCAAATAACCAGTATTGCAATGAACAGCTCATGTAGCATTCATTATTAATAAATGATTTAGACTCCTCATGGCGAAGATTCCTCAGATATTTTTTAGGGTACATATGCCCAATGGTAACTAGTGCTACATGAGAGAAACATAAACTGTGGACTGATCAGGAAGGAGGCTAGCGTGTTTGCTGAGGACGCCTCTTTGTCTCTGCACTGACAGCCTGTGAAAGCTGTCTGGATGTAGCTTTCCACCTTGATGTTTTTAAACAGCGCGGTTGTAATTTAACTGACAGGCTTTAAAACACACTTGTTTAAACTGTGACCGCTGTCCTGTTTATTAAGTCGATTGGGCTGGCTGGTGAGATGGTTCTGTGGGTAAAGGCGCTTGCCTCTGAGACTGATAACCAGAGTGTGACCCCGGGGCCCATGTGGTGGAAGAAGAAAACTGACTGCTGCAGGTTGTCCTCTGACCTCCACACACATTGTGGCACCCCTCCCCCCCACAATAATAACTACGACTTTTAAAAGTATTGGGTTGTACACATATTGTGATTCAGATGACCCAGTATCAATACCCACTTCTTAAACAAGTAAATTCAAACTTGTCTGATACTGTTCCCATACCCAGATGCTCACCACCTCAATGCCAGTACGGGCAGGAAGGAAATCAATAATCTTCGAGGGCTGACATCTGAGAAGATGGGACTCTGTTACCTCAGAGTCTCACCTTGGGCATTCAGAAAGAAAGCGTGAGCGTAGGAAGAGATCAGGAAGGCAGCACTCTAAGCAGCCTTGTCATACAGGGTGAGGTCCTCTCATCCAGGACCTGGGGCTTCCTTTCTTTTTTTCTTTTTTCTTTTTCTCTAAGGATTGACCTTGACCTCCAGGGGCTAGTTACAAGCATATTAATTCTAGGTGAAAGAGTAGAGCAGTGGGGTGTACCTTAGCGGTAGGCCTCTTGCATGGCGTCCGTGAAGCTCTGGGTGCCATCTCTGACGCTGATGAAAACTACCAGCAACGAAGCGTCAGAGGAATACCCATGCTTCACATTAGCTATGGCAGAATTTAAGGACGAGGAGGGCTGTTACACGTTCTGAAGTTTTCTAAAGGTCACCGTTGCTCTGGGTTCTAAAAATATGAAGAAAGATGATTTGACGTTGACATCTTAGTCATTTAGATGTGCCTTCTCTTTAGGATTGAGGGGGCCAGGCAAAGGCAGAGGAAGAAAGACCTTACTTTGCAAAGGGCCACTTGCAAAGCACCAGCCATGCTGAACAAGAGGCTCACCCTCAACACTGGGCTGCATTTGGGCCTGCAGGAGCGAGGGCAGAGAGCAGGGCGGGCATGATTCCTCATTCTAGTTCCTGTTTTATCTTTCTTGACTCCCTCCTGTCCCTGTTTCTCTGTGTTGGATTAGTTGCTGATGGCACAAGTTGAAAGATGATCCTTGCCCTCAAAGACCAGGAAGAGAATCCCCAAAGCCATCAACAAGATCATCACATTCTTTTATGCACGAGTCATCCTGATAGAAACTCACCTGGGCATCTAGGTGATCTTAGCTCTACTCGGGTTCAGTCCTCTGCTCAACAAATGTTTATGCAGTTTCTGCTCCACACTGCAGGCTGAAAGATAAGAACTCAGCGCTGTCCTTTGCTTCAACCTTAGGTGATGCAGCATCCGTCAGTGTTAAAGGGCTGTCTGACCTTCTGACCCATGGCCATGTACAGACCTTCTCTCTACCCCTGCTGATAACTGAAGCAGCTTTTCTTCCTTCTCTTGGCATTGTGTGCTCCACCATGGCCTTCAGGTCTTAGTTCCCAAAGCTCCTTGTGAGTGAGACTTCTCTGGTCTAAGGTTTCCCTCAATCCACACACCTCATCGCCCCTTCTCCCCTTCACCCTTTTCATTGTCTCACATACAATTCATTGTATTGTAGAAAGTATTTCTTTTATCAGAAAGTGAGTTCTGCGACTATAGGAACTTGAATATGTGGCTTCCTACCCCACCCCATATCCTAACCCTCCTGGAACACAGTCCATATTTAATGACTATTGGATTCATCTATATTTGGATCATGTGTGTACAAGCGAGTATGTGTGTGCAGAGGCCAGAAGTTAACCTCGAGTGTTATTTCTCAAGTACCATTCACTCTGGTTTAGAAAACACTTCATTGGCTGACTGACGGAGCTCACTGATTCAGCTAGCCTGGCTACCCAGCCAGCCCCAGGGATCTGCCCGTCTCCACCTCCCTAGTGTTAGGATTACAGTGCTCACCAGCACACCAGCCTTTTTATGTGGGTTTGGAGAGCTAAAACACAGGTCTTTACGTCTGTGAGCACAGGAAGCACTTTGCCAACCAAGCATCTCCCTAGACCCAGTATTTTTATCTTGACCTTGTCTCCAGGTCTGTGCACCTGTCTCCTAACCCCGGCTCTCCCAGATCTCAGGTTCTGACTTGCTTCTCTCACACACATGCGCAGTGGGTTGTGAGAGCAACAGCAGCGTCTCTGGCAGGCTGTTTCTAGCTTGTGCTCAGACTGGTCCTAGCTGCCTTGCTCCTGGCTGTCTCACAGATGGATTTGTTACACTGTTCTGCCTGTTCTTCCCCTGACTTAGACCATAGCTACCTGTCCAGATTCTGGCTTCCAGTGTGTCTTAGGAACTGTCCCATTGCAGCCTGCCCCAGTTAATTAACCTTCTCTGTGTGACAGCTTTACAAGACTGGACAGAAGGCAGAACACCCGTGATGCTTCATGAATTAAAATCCCAGCCAGGGGAAATGAATAAAGTTCACTCCACGTGCTGAATCCTTGTATTTCCCACTCCAAAGAATTGTCTAGAAAGCAACTGGGGGAGGCCGCAACATTTTAGAATAATTACTGAATCCTGAAATTACTTTCTTAAAAGCAATCTTGAGAGGCACTCATGCATAATAATATTTCCGGGCCGAGCTCTACTGGTAAAATGTTGGGGTGTTATGAATCACCTTTATTCCAAGCCCCTGACCAGCATCTGAGTTGTTAATACCTTGCTTAGCTTCTCATTATTTTTTTTTTCCATAGCCCACAACATAGCTCAGTGAACTAAGATGCCTGGTCCTAAAAGTTGACTTGAGTTCAGTTTCCTGGGGAAGGAGAGAACTGATACTTGAAAGCGCAAATTGTCCCCCCATACCTGTGCTGTGACAGGTGTGTGTCCCCCTAAATAAAATGTAAGTAAAAACTAATTTTTTTTTCAAGTAAGTCATAGTGATTCGTGCCGGTAATTCCAGCGTTTGGGAAGGTAAGACAGGAGGATTGCCAAAAAGGCTTGTGTGGGCTGAATGGTAGTTCCAGTTTAGCCTAGGCGACATGTGAAACACCCTGTCTCCAGAGGCTTAACTTTTTCAAGACAGGGTTTCTCTGTGTAGCCCCGGCTATCCTAGAATGGGCACAGAGCTCCTCCCGCTTCTGCAGGCTGGGATTAAAGGCCTATGCTGCCGCCGCCGTCAGGCTGGCTTCTTTTTCTTCTACAAGTTGTGCATGTGAGGCAAAGCAAGAAGGACCAGCTGCCAACACTGATCCATCAGGCCATAGAGAGCCGTCATGGTTCTCAGGGAGGCCTGCACAGCACCAGTTCTCACCTGTGGGTCACGACCCCTTTAGGGGTCACTTAAGACCCTTGAAAAACACAGATATTTATAGTCTGATCCTTAACAGTAGCAAAATTACATTATGAAATAGCAACAAAAAATACCTTTATGGTTGGGGTTGCCGCAACATGAGGAACCCTATTAAAGGCTCTCAGCATTGGGGAAGTTGAGAACCACTGCTGCGCAGGAAGGAGCCGGGGACCCATCAAGGCAGCTCAGGGCCGGCAGCCTAGGACAGGCCGTTTGTGTTGTGTCACCAGAGGGATCCTTCAGCTGAACTGTGGAGATGGAGACACACGACTTCAATTTCTTGATGAAATGGATCCCAAAAGGTGCCAGAAGTCAGGTGTGGTGTCCAAGATTGGCAGGGACATCTTCCGCCAAACCTTCCCCCCGCCCCCCCATTTTCTCCGCTGCCTGTTAAACTAAAAAGCAGGAGGAGACCTGATCTTTAGATGTTCCTGGAGTTATAGGACATTAAAACATACCCATCAGGTAACAGTTAGGCTTTACTTTTGTTTGGGGGTGCTAGGGTTAAGTACCCCAGACAAGCAAGCACTTTACCACTGAACCCGAGGTTGGGTTTTAAGGTGGGCAATCACGTGACCTTGGTAGTCTTCCAAGGCTTCCTTATAGCCCCTAGCCCCTGCTCCTTCCTGCTCCTCTGTTCTACCTGCTTCATTTAAGCATGAGGTGCATGGCCCCTCTGGGTGCGTATCCTGTTCCCCCCAGACAGGTTCCTGACCTGGTTGGGCTAGTGAACTTTTGGGGGGAGGGGGAGGCAGCCAAAAAGAACCCGCGGGAAAGGCAACAGTCTAGACTCCTTCCTCCTCCCCTGGTTCTGAGCCCTAAGCCTGAGCTGGATCACCACCTCTGCCAACCGCTCTAGCCTGCTGTGCTCAGCCTCTAGGTCACACCTGATCCCGCTCAGGTCTCGCTTCCGCACGCGGAAGGCAAGACGTCCAGGTGCTCCCTGGGCTACAGTGGGCTGAGGGTAGGTCGCTGCTCCCCCCCACCCAAACACACACCGGGAGGTTGGCGACTGGGGACGGGTAGACAGACAGACGGACGTGCCGGCCAAGCTGCCGGGTGGGGTGCGGGAGGGGGTGGAGCCGCCGGGGAGGGGCGGTCCGCGGAGCGGAGCTCAGCCTCCCGCCCCCTTCGGTGCCTGGGTCTCAGTGAGGGTGACACAAAAAGCTCCCGCTCGGGGTCCGGCGCCTGGCGGCGGCGGCGGCGCGATCGCAGCGCGATCGCGGCGGGGCAGGTGGAGGGCGCCGCCCGGAGCTAAAGGAGCGACGAGCTGGGAGCTGGGCTGCGGGAGGCGCTGCCGCCGCTCTGCCCGAAGCCGCCCCGCAGCCCGCGGCGGGAGGAGCAGGCGGCAGCCGGCCCCCAGCGCGCGTCTGGCGGAGCGTGGCGGGCGGCGCGCGGACCCCCGGGATGCTGCCCAAGCTGCTGCGGCCGGCGGCGGCGTAGCGGGACCGAGCTCGTAGCCGAGAGAGGTCAGTGAGTTTCGGTTTGTTTTCCTGCTCGGTAACGCTCCCGGGTCCCGGGGGCAGGGGGGACGCGCGGGGATGCCTGTGCCTGGGGAAAGCGGGAAAGGGCAGCTGTGGCTTGGGATGCGTCTGGGGGTAGCTCTTGGACTATGATAGGGGTGGCCTATTTGGGCAAAGGAGTGCGGAGCCGGAGTGGCGTCCCCGAGGAGGTGGTCCCTGGAGTTGGGTTTCCTTCCCGCATTGCTTGAGTTGGGAGAGGGATGGGGCTGGGGCAGCCGCCTCTGGCTCCGCTGAGTCCTGGGATGCCCCCTAGAGCTGTGGTCCCGGGAGCTCGCCTCATGCACGCGCCGCACGCGCCCTTGAGGTGCGCACACGTCCCTGCTGGGCTTCCTAGCCTTTTCCAGCCCCGAGTCGTCCCCTCTAGTCCTGTCCTGACTTCCCACTCCCCGACTTCCCGCTAGAAGTTGCCCCGAGCCATTTTTGGATAAAAAAGGGGGCCGAGTGGAGGGTCAGATTCCGAGGATCTTTTGTGAGGACCCAAGGGCCTGGGGCGCTTGCTCCTGGAAGGACAGCCGCAGGACAAAGCCAGCTGGACTTGTGGGGCGCTGCTTGGGCAGCGCTGGTCCGGGATCCCGCCTACCGTAGGGGTGTGGTGGTGGGGAGCGCTGCGCAGATTTGGAACCGTAGGGTTATTGACAAAACAGTGACAGTGACTTGATGAGGTGGTGGCCAGGGCAACGAAGGATGCTCTCAGATGCAGCCCTAGTGTGTGTGTCCGGGCTGGTGACTGCGCGCCCCGCATTGCCAGCTGTGTGGGTTTAACTAGTGTATTTTGCTAGCGTATCTTTGCCCTAAGATGATTCTATTCTCCATCCTGACTCCTATCTTTCTGAGAGATTACTGTTGCTGGTGGCTGCTTTACCGCGGGAGAACTTGGGGGCGGGGAGACTGCAGAGGAGCCAAGAGGTAGTTATTTATCCCAGAGAGCCTTAATGACCACTCCTCGCCCTACCAGCCACCCACCGCCCATTCTCACTCTCCCCGGACACCCACTCCTGTCCCAGTGGCCCTTGAGGGTGCTTGGATTTCTGTCTGCGCTGCGTGTATCTAACCCTTACTGCATGTATTTCCCTGCAGGCTGAACAAAGCTGGGCTCAGTCGTGCTTCCTGCTCGTCAGCCTCTCGCCTCCCAAACGCATATCCTTTCCACTTGATGTCATCACGCAGAAGTGGGTGAAAGGGACGCGTGACAGATCCAGGTAACCCCGATGGTCTGGGTAACTGCCTCGGTGTCTCTGGGTCATCTGGGCCCACAGTGCTGACACAGGCTGCCTGGGTGTTTCTGCTTCCACAGCATTCCCCTCTGTGAGGGAGTAGGGGCTGCCCAAGCAAGCACACAAAATCTGCCCTACCCTAGGGACTTGATTTGAATGTCTTGTTCCACCAATATTGCAAATGACTTCATTCTTTCCTTTTGGAGAGGTCACTGGGAGCAGCTTGCGTTGGAGCTCTATTAGTTCCATTGGGCGGTGTGAATTCCAATGCCGTCAGTACACATTCAGTACCTGATTGTGGGCTTGGATCTAAGACAGTCTTTTGTCTACAATAGGGATGGTATTTAATGAAAATATGTTGTGGAAAGACTGATAATTGTAAAGCTAATGAGAAATTTGACCAGGGCTCAGTTATGGCATTGGCTAAACACAGTGGCCTTCTTAGGAGGTAGAACTGTTTCTCTCCCATCCTTTCATTGTAATAGTATCTGTCATATCACAAACAAGGTGGGCAGGTGCTCAATTGCTGGGAGGTGGCAGAGAGGGTTGCTGGGAAGGAGCAGAAAGAACACAGAGAAGACAGAGCTTTAGTTAAGTTTCCATTTATATAGACACAAGCCGTTAGACTCTCTGCATTTTATCTTTAGGTTTTGGTTCTTTTCCAAAAACTCTGGCCTGTTCACTTCTTTCCAAGGATAATTCTGTTGTGATCAGCCTAACCAGATTGGAGATTAACTTGACAAAGTGCATGGAAGCCTCACCTTCAGCTGTACCAGGACACACTTGCTGTCCTAGAAGCCAGAGCCCAGGGCGTCCTAACGGGGATAGATCCAGGCTTGGATGATAGGAGGTCAGGTTGCTGAGGGCCAGAGGCTCCTGGGAACTCTTTTGCACTATGACAGCATCAAGGACCGTAGTGGATGCGCTTTACAGTTTTTATCCCAAGTCTCTTGCAAAATTAAGTTTAAAAACTGGAGACATTTGTCATTTTGGTCTAGGGTATTTTTGCTTTGAAAGGTGACTTTAAAACCAGGGGTGACACTGATGTTAATCCTTCTACTGAAAGCTTGGGAAAATCATTAGAAGTGGGGCAGTCATTTTGTTCTAGCTAAAACAAAGGCCACTGCTTTGGAGAGACAAGATTATTAAAACGGTGGTAGGATGAAGGTATTTTGACAAGTGATTTTTCTGTCAGCAGTAATTCAGGGTGTGTCCTGGGTTACAGCAAGAAGAAAAACCACGTGACGGAATAACAGAGAATGTAATACTGCAATAGAATCAAGGGTGTGGCTTTTTAATAATAATAAAAAAACCACACACACAATTTTCCACATAGGAAAACAGCTGCCTGCACATGTAATTGCATGTCCAAGAACAAAGATAGCCATAGTGTAGTATTAGGTTTTATTGTGATTTTTTTTTTAATCATGTGCTGTGATAACTCATAATGAAATGTTGCATTTCATTGGCTCTCTGGGGTTTTGCAGAAGTGGGCTTTGCTCTAGGTTGGCATTGCTGACCTCTGGTTCCAGAGTTTTTCTCAGGCTACTCATTTACTCAGCAGATGTTGGGCACTTAATAGACACAGGTTCTGTGAGAGGTTCCCAGAGGTGAGTGATGGGTAGAGACACAGCCATGAATCACCCTCACTCAGGGTGCTTATAGGGAGACAAAGAGATGCAGGCCTAAGTGGAAGTGACTGTGAGAAGGTTAGAGTGGGCTGGGACCTCTGAGGAGGCTCATGCAGCCTCTGCTAGATTGTCTTTTTCTTCAGGCTGCGCTATCCTTCCTAAACTTCTGGGCTGGGTCAGAAGCAGCCTTCTCTTTACTGACCATGGACTCTTCAGTTGGATTCTCCTTGGCTGCTGAGACTCCACCAATGCAGGGAGCCATTCTGTTCTCATTCCTTCTTGACTGTCCTGCCTTCTCTTCAGGTGCTGTTCAGCACGCTGCTGTATATCAAGCTTGAAATAAAGTCCATGTTTCTGTGTCACCTGATATAAGAAGCAGATGGGGGACTTTTGTAGGGTTTCTTTTCACTCATGTTTGACTAATGATGTGTTTCGGATTTTGCTGTAGTAAGGAGTCTTCCACATATCAATGCCTGACAGTTTTTTTCCTGGGCTTGCGGAGCAGAAAGACCAGGATCATTGTAGTTGCTCGGGCCCTAAATGACAGAGGATATAGGATAAAACTTAATTCTACAGGATGGTTGCACTCAAGAAAAGGAAGTGGCTCAGGTATCACTCAGTCATTTCCATAACACTGAAGCATGTTACATCATTGTGGTCCCAACCAGCTCTATGACCTTTTAAGCCTCAAGTCAGTATTTCTTGCATGGAAGTGGGAAAGAACTGGGAACAGCTGAGCTATCCTGGTGGCATAGATTTCTTGTATCATGGGGCCTGGCTCAAGACGTAGAAGGTATTTGCTGTCCCGTGAGCAGTTTTTGAGTGAATCAGTGATAAATATCCTAAAGAATCTGGTCCATGGACTGGGGAGATGGCTCAGTGGGTGAAGTGCTTGCTGTGCACGCATCAGGACCTGACTTTGAATTCCCAGGGCCCACGTAAAGCTGAATGTGGGAGCACACAACTGTAATCCCGGTGTTCTAACAACAAATGAGGAGAGACAGAAGAAATCTCTGGAGGCTTATGGCCAGCTAGTCTGGTGTATGCAGCAAAGAACGACAAAGAAACACTCTCAAACATGGTAGAAGGCAATGACCAACACCCAGGTCCTCTGACCTCCACATGTGTTTGATGACATAGACATGGGCACACAGGAAGATGAATTCATATATGCACACATATGCATATATGGGCACACACACATTAGAAATATTGTTCTCTTTTAATCTGTTATTTACTGAAGTATTAGTGTATTTACTCGTATGAGTGCATGCTAATTATCAAAGAAAAATTGAAGACATTTTTAATGACTATTTGGGGTGCTAGTTTACTTTGTAATGACAGGCCAGGAGTTATCTCCAGGGCAGAGACTAGCAGGTCGCATGCCCGGCATTATATAACACAGAAGTGTCCTTTGCAGACTTTTTCTCCCTTACCATCTGCTGCTTGTCTAAGACTTCCTGATTTTGTTCAGAACAGCCCAGGAAAGAAAAGGAGTGGCAGGTGGGCCTTGAGTCACCCAGAAGGTGACCCGCTACAGCAAAGACCTCAGGAAAGCAGTGCAGATGAGAACGAGCAGGAGTGGGCTTAGCATAATGGATGGTATTTTGATGTTTAGAAAAAGCAATTTGGCCAAGAGGCTTTTTCAGGTCAGTGGATTCACAGGACACCCAGAGTGTTCTAGGGCATTCATGTTTCCGTTAACTACCATGTTGGCTATGAGGGTGGTAAGTTTTAAATCCTGCCTTGTCATGCTTTCCATACAAAAGAGCTGGGTGCTGTGGATCAAACCTTACAAAGGGAGAGGGCAGCCCTGGCTGGTTAGAAAGAGACAGTTACTTTCAGATGAGCTGGCTACTTATATGTCCTTGCTCACCATGTGCATAGATTAGAATTCTTAAGATTTCGTGTGTACTTTAAGGATAAGCATGGGATTTAATGAAATAGTATTGCTTTTGTCACCTCAAAGTCATTTTCAAAGATAGCTTCTGCACACAGAAGCAACACAGTGATCCGAGTTAGCTTCTGAGGTCACAGTGACTTAGCCTAATGATGTGGAGGCCACCCTTCCAGTCCAGCTTCACTTGAGTGAAAAGTTGGGAGTGTGAGGCTAGGAGCTGATGGAGAGTGAGTTGTCAAGGAGGCAACTCCAGGGTTAGGCCAAGGGCAAACGCGTCTAGGTGAGAAAGAGAAGAAAGCCCCATGAAACTCATATTGAAAGATATTAGGGGAACTTTAGAATATATTTCTATGTTCTACGTGACCTTTCCAATGTCCTTATGAAGTCAGTTATTCAGGTGAAGGACACTTGTGGCAGAAATGAGAGCTCCCCGGCATGTCCTGTCACAAAGTCACAAAAGAGGGAGAAGAAGTTATTGGCATTTTGCTGCCTCCGGTGGGTTTTTTGTTGTGCTGTGGAACCCAGCAGTCAGCTGCCATGCTTTACATGTACTTCAGGATTTTCTGTCTCTGATTATAGTTATTACTGCAGATTTAAAGAAAGGCCTCAAGCAGTATACATATGATGTGCATTTCATATGTATACTGTATACTTATACAGTATTTGTACACTTTTGGGAGCCATGGTGTCATGGTAGATACTTATGACCACTGAGGCACCAGTCACACCTCTTTCTGGAATTACAGGGGCTGCTTGTGAGCTACTGAGAGTGGAGGGGCTGAGTCTGGAAAGACAACTTCCAGAGAGCTTGGATTCTTGATTCTTGCACAAATAAAACCCAGTGCAGGCAGCCTGGCATGATGAAACCTGTGCTGACTTCACATAGCCTTCCAGGCCACATGTAGAGAGAGGTGGGTCACAGGAGGCTGTGGTGGGGGGAAGCAGCTAAAACGTAGAGTCTACAACGCAGAGACACAGGGTCCCAGAGTGAGTCTTTCCATCTTACCTTGTTCTCACCCACAAAGAACTTCCCCTGGTGGCACAGCCCATCTGTAAGTGTTGGTGATCACGTTGGCTGACTCCTCACTGTGGGTCTGCAAGGCTGACAGCATTTGAGTAACACTTTGGTTTTGCGTTGTGACACAGTAACTGTCCATTCCTGGTGGCGTCTCCATATCTCCCAAAAGGGAACACTTAGGCCTCAGCCTTGGCCTTGGCCTCCTGACTTTCCTGCCCCTACTGCCATGTAGAACAAGAGGCCATTTTAATGGCTGCTCACTCCCTTGATACTTTTGGGTGGCTCCAGTTTTCTTGTAGGAGGGAGCTTATATTCCTGTCTCTCCTTTGGTTTTCCCTGGCTTGACCCCAAAGTTCCTTTCTAGTCTTCATTTTTGCTTATGTGTGTGTCCATATTTGTGTGTGTACATGTATTGGAAGTCAGAGAACAGCTTGTG